ATGTCATGAGGAATAGTCCTCGGTACGTACGAGTTTCTTTTACAAAGTCCGGAATAGTATCGTACGAGTCTAAAAGTGTTAGTCAGTCGTCGTGGTTTTGTCCCGGTCGTTGTAGGTGATCCTCGTGTCGAACGATCTGATGCGAGTGTAATAGTAGAGTGGTAGCATAAGGTAGTGTCGTTGTTGTTGATTCCAGTAGAAGTTGTCGGCTACAGATAACACTATCTCGTGTTTTGGTAGTCACGAATGTAATAGCAGAATAGCTTTCCAGCATTTCGTTAGTAACCAGACTAACCAGCCAAAGACGACGTTAGACTGAGTTGTGAGAACGTCTGTAGTTGAAGACATAGTGTCTTATATTATTCAGATCTCTTAATGAGTCAAGATACCACATCCAAACTGTCAGCACAGGTTCGGTGTATAGTTTAGATAGTATAAATTAGGTAAGTTATGCAAAAACTTCGACAAAAAACAAGTCCTGGTGTCTCAGACCTTGGATAGGTGTCTACGATCTCCGTACGTTTCACCGAAATACCTTACCGCATATGTATGCTGATCTCCACACCTTTATTCAGTTTATCGCAGAGAGCCGTGTGTTTGATGGTAATTAAAATCATGAAAAGTGGATATTCGTGCTATTGAGCAGTTGGATAGGAGTGAAAGTTTTTTATATAGTGTACTTTATGAGGTATTCCGGAAACGACCCGTACCTAAACAACTGTATACTCCGCTTACATTGAACGATAACACACGATCTATTTTAGTATTCTCATTACAAAAGTCTGACTTATCTAGGGAGGTCCTCGTTACATTGCCGACCGCTTTTTGAGGAAACCGTAATACATCAGCTAATTCGTGTACGTCCCCGCATAATATACTAGCTAAATAGACAGGTCACTCTTAACGCTCCATTTCAACGTTGTTAATTACGCGTGTAACTTCAAACGCTTTTTCTTACTCTACTAAATAAAAAATTTATAACCACGACTCAGAAATAAAATAACAGAGAAGAGTGTAGATAGTTGGAAGACGCGTGCAGATGTGCTAGATTTGAGCGTAAAAAATGAGAAGTTAATTTGTGTCACGTGAACACAATAATAACACGAATTCTCTGTTACACCACGAAAGTATTTGGTGTGTTTGTGTGTGTGTGTGGGTGTGTGTGTGTGCGTGTGAAATAGAGGCGGAACTTAAAGGACAGATAGTAAATGAGCACTTATGCAAACTAGACTTCTCTAAGTTAGCAACATCCCGAAAGATAAGTAGTGTAACAAACAGCAACAATCACGGGAAGCTTCCCACTAACTCTCGCAACTAACGGGTAGCCACTTGCACTCATACCAAACGAAAGACAGGCCGTCGCGCGTTCGTAAAAGCTTACAAACTTACTTAGTTTCACCCCAGCAGAAGTGTCAGTAGGACCACTATGGGAAACAGACTGTTAAAGAGATTCTGCATAACGGATGGTTGTGTGTCAAATCGTGCCCCACGTCTTATGCAAAGGGGGTATAAAAAGCATCTCTATCTGTCGCTACCCACATTTGTAACGGAAACGGACGCCAAGAAAATCCGCTCGACTTTACCAAGCTAGCAGAAACACCTAAACCAAGGGGATGCAAAGTAGAACGATAGACACACCAACCACAATGGAAAGCACACTACGTGCTCAGACTAGCTGCATCGCAGTGATAAGATGTGATGTATAGTGTGAAGTCTGCTCAATTGAAAAAGGAATGAACAAGTTAAGAACCAACACCTATTACGCCACCTACAATACGTAGCCGGATAAAGTATATCACGCGCGGGNACAAGATGCCCTCACGAGTGCCTTACGAAGTTGCTGCCGGAGCCTGAGAAACTCCACCGGCAGTCATACGATGGCTTAAGATGCCCTCACGAATGGCCCGATGTTGCTACGATCAGAGCCAAATTTGAACATTTCCTTTATCGTGTGTCCATCGGGTGTCAATTTCGGGACAGTGTGACGCGAGCTTTAGATAAGACTTGCATGGATATCTGAATAATTTGTACATTATTCTATGCTATACTAAATAAGTTACGGAGCATACAACCCAATACACAGTGTCAGTATTTTGAACTGGCTGCAAACGGCACATTGACTGTTTATGGCTAAAACCCATGGATTCAAACACAATAATCAAGTCCCCATGTATAATATTTAGAATGTATTTCCCCGTGGTCGATATCAATTATAAAGGGAATACTAATATATCGTGTTTCATAGATGCTTGTACTGTTTGAGTATGATAATCCTCTGACCCCAAAGAATATGCGCATATCGTACAAAACCTTCCTTACTGCAATTATACTTTTAGGTTATTTTGGATGAAAATCTATTCTTTCCAGTCCAAATGTCTCCGACCATGTTTAGATGGTCTGTTTTTATAATTATCACAATCTTGAACCACAGCACTTGTGTCTCTTCCTCAGATCAATGTTGACCACCACATTAGAGAGAAGATCAAGAAGACTTTGGAGCAGCCAAGCCTCTCATGCTTTGATGAGGCCCAGAAACATGTTTACCTGCTGATGGAAAGAGACTCTTACCCCAGATTCCTGCACTCAGATGCCTACCTGAGTGTAAAGAACAAATCCAGGACTCTCTGGTACATTTAGCTCAGATGGTTGTATCAAAACAGCTTTTCTAATCCTTGTTTTTTGTTCCCATTTGGCTGAATTTAAAAGTTATTTCACATTGTACGAGATGTGAAGCTTTCATCAAAACTGAGATGGTATATTGACGAAATGTTGTAGAGGATGTTGAAGCAGGAGCAGAGAAAAGTGATGTGAGTGGGAAAATAAGTAAATGCAAGTGGAGTAGAAAGAATGCTGTTTGTATGCATCAGTATAGTTTGGATTGGTCGGAAATATTGAAAGTGTCGACGAAAAGTTTTAGTAAGTTATAGAACAAAATACAAATGACAAGGAATGACATAAACATGGTGTCTGATATGAAACAACCTAGTTTTCATTAAACGCTGTACAAAACTTTACCATCTTTAGCTACAATTCAAGAGATAAGTCTTTATCTCTCATCGTCCATAACTGTTAATTAATGTTTTGTGTTGTTAATGTACTGACTTGTTTTCATATAGTCAGATTTTGAGACAATGATTTAAATCTATCTAGTTAGACATGTGCGGATGGACATTAGTAAAAAAAAAAAAGAACAGTTTCCACCCAGCGAGGAGATTCTGTTTTTGGTCACATGTCTGATATATCCTTTAATGAGGTGCAGGGATGACTCTATACACCAGCAATAGGGTTTACCAAACTGGAAAAAACTAACCCCGCGGTAACCCTTGATCTCACTCAGTTCTGTAAATGGCCTTATTCCTCAGAATTGTGCCTTAAAAAGGAGTACTGAGGCAGCTAATAATAACTCCAGAGGCTTAAACGACAACACTGGAGTCATCAGACAACCTGATGCGTAACAGATCAGGCTGAATGTGCTGCCTTGTTAGGGGAATAATCTCATCGCCCGCAGACAATGATAGCAAAGAAACACAGATGCTTTACGTGGAGAAATACCATGAAACAAGTATACTTTGGAAAAATACCTGACTGTTTAAATAAAAGTATTAAAGTGGAAAATAAGCTTTTACATTTTACTGAAAATGTGTTTTTTATTGTTCAAGCTTTGGAAGCTTGATTTTTTTTTTATCGAACAAGAAGTGTATCGAGGAGTAATAGTTGTCATTTTCATTGTTTGCCCATATGTTGTATTATTTCAGAATTTGGGGAAATAGGTCAATCTTAGCAACAAGGTATGGATAAAACTGTAACCTGCGCTTTAAGATATATTCGTGTTCTAAACCTTTACCATCTCCCCTCCCTGTTAACTTTGAATTAGAGCACAAATTACACGTGCTGTACCTTTTTAAGAAATGTACAAGCTATATTCAAAAGAAAAAATAATACAATTTCCATCCAATGTATCCATTCCTTCAGCAGTTCCTAGGAATGAACAACACATTTTGTGTATCTTAAAATCAAGGACCACTTACTGTAGCCTCACTGTTTTCAACCCATTGGTCAGTAAATTGAGTTTGTGTATATAAATTATGAGGCCGATGTTTCATGATTGTATATGGGGGGGAGGTGATTGTAAGCCCTGTCTCGGACCAATTGTTCCTTTCCATGACTTAAATAAATAAATAGCCCTAACCTCTAACCCTAAATAAATAAAAACTATAGCCACTCACTAAACCACTTTATCTACTACTAAGTTGTGTTTCTACCATAGGTTTTGAGAGGAAAAGTAAGGTGTTGTGGTTCGATTTGAAGTCACTGTTGGCTTCTATAATAAACAAGATCAACACCACCACTTTCTTAACCTTAGGCAAGTTCATTTAGCATAAGCATAACCATGAAAGATTTTAATAACGCTAAAGTTGTTCCCCGCGGCTATTGTATTGCAGCAGGTTTTTTGTGATAGACAAAAAACAAATTTATTGATAATTTTGTGACATGACAGATTAGTTTTTTCCTACAAAATGTATCTATTTCTGCATGGGAAAAAAACGATTTGCAGGTATGAAAATAAACAGCTTTGTCAGCTATTTTCAGTTGTCAGTAACTCTTAGTACATTGGGATGTCAAGGGGTTGTTCCTGACAAAGGTCTCAGATTTCCTTCATCACATGGCGCACTATTCTTCACATACAATCTGTCAGTGTTTTTTCATAACCCAGAACTGTTACCATGGTAGCGAAAAAGGAAGTGAGTACTGTCGATGGCACAGTGTTAGTCAAGTCAGTCACACGTTGGGAACTTGACTAACAGCTCTGCCTTGATACATTAAATGCTGCATGATGTATTCCTAATTTAGTAAGTGTTGAGACAAATTAAAATATAAAAAGGAGAGCTTTGCGTTCACAGTGTTTGGAGATTCTTCGTAACGCCTCAGTACCTAGAACCGTGTTTGGGCAAAAGAGGGAGAGCAGCATCAGTGAAGCCAAGCCAAAAGCAGAGTAGCCTGAGGCAGAAGAGACTGGTAAAAAAAAAAATACAATTAGTGAGGTTTGAAGTATCTATAATTATCTACTGAGCACTCTTATTTTCCTTTCAGAATCTTCTCTAGGCCTATTATAACTATTGGCAGGTGAACTAAACATAACAACATTAAAGCTAGTAGCACTGGATTACATGAACCTCTTTTGGTTTGTCATTGACAATTTAAACGAGCAGTTTAGTTTCACCGTTACTTAATTATATCCTGAACAAAATTACTTAATCTGATCATTTGAAATCATATCTACTGAAAAGCAGATCCTCTTAGTCTTGTGTGAGCGTCGACCTGTAAAACTGGCCGAGTGAACTAAATTAACAGTAATCCCGGCTGCCTTTACTCACTAAAATTAAGTTGGGGAAAAGAACGATAATTGCAGTGTTACGTGGGCAAGAAGGAGCGGAATAACATTGCAAAATTAAATGTGTAGAAAACCCATCTGACTAATGTGAAGTCAGAGGCAGATAGTGTGACTCTGCTCTGTCACACTTCTAGCCAAAGCTTAGTAGGGAGGGAGGAGACGTGTCTACATTTGCAAGTCTTTCTTTCTAAACTTATCATAGAAGCTGTAAGCATGATTTTTACGCCAAGTGACCATACATCTGTTAAAGGAGTATGTTATGATGCTTCTGAGTAGAAGGAAACAAATGGCTAGCATCACAGCTTTGGATTCTCAGGCCTATAGTCAATCAGATCAAGTTGTTTTGCTAACGTTTAAAACCAGGCTACCATGTTAACATAATTGCTATTGGACTTAAATTACACATTTTGTTCGGGCTAAGTTGGTTCAGTAGTCGGCCCTAGTTTTAATACTATTGTAAGAAACTGTAGCCTACTCTTCTCACCTAAGCCCCAGCTTTGACTTTAATCCTACATGATCTCATGTCGTTTTTGCAAAATTGCAGTTTCTCCAGCTAAAGCTTCAATCAAATTCAGAATTGGTAATACTTCTTTGGACAATTTTGGTTTTATCCTTCTAAAAATGGACAATTTGACATTCATAAATTGGCTATACAAAGGTTTCAGACTTCATTGGGATTAAACTCCTCAAGCTTTATTTTTGGTCCCTACTTCCTGACTGACTTGAAGGAAACAGAAAATCTCAAGGGTCAGTGCTACTAATGCTTATTTCAGCTGCTAGTCACTTGTCAGGAAACCGTCCAATTCACAACAAATTCTCACACCACAACTGAATTTCTCGCCAAGGCGGGTTATTTCTCTTGACCCATGTCTGTTGTTCCCAGTCCCTTGAACAACTCACAGGCTCAGATATAAAAGGCTGCTGTCTGTGTTGACATGGGCATTGGGATCCAGGTTCATAAGAACACCTTGTTGGCCATACTGCCCTTATGTCACCATTTCACATAATGTCTTCAAATCAAGGTGAATTAGCCTTTCAGAAATTAAAACCTATTGTGAACGTGTTAATACAGATATTTAAAATGTCTAACATGTTAAATCCATAGATTGGTCAATCTGAAAACCTTACTCTTAGAGGATGTGATTGTTGGCAACATGTCTTTATTTGAGGGTTTTCAGAGCCTTCCTTTACTTTGAAGATGTGTTATACTTTGTATTATAAAAATACATCTCACAGACTGGTTTATTCTGATCTCCATATAAGGATTTCATCCTACTTTTTGAGCCAATCAGAAGGGTTTGGCAGGTAAGTATTACATTTTTCGTACTGTGGTTATTTGACATACAGACTTCCTATCTGTGTTGCAATACATTTGTCATTTCCTCTTCTCGCCTATGTTGCATGAATTTAAGCCACATTGTTGAAATTCTTATTGTGGATGATCACTAAGCTTAAAAACATTTTATCACAAAGGCAACATTTCAAAGAGAAAGTAAAGCAATCCTTCAATTTGTATTAATATGCCTGTAATTTCATTTGGCTACCAAAATACATAATGTGCAAAGGTCACAATTTGCCTATCACAGGAAAATGTTACTGTCATTTGCATCTGTGCTGCGAGTCGAACAATAATGTGAACACAGCATCAGCCTGTTATGCTCGTCCAGTCAGGAAGAGAGGGAAGGATCTGCAGAAGGAAAAGGAAGCAGAGAGACATAATAGGGAGTATAAGGCATCAAGAGGGGGGAGGTGTACATGCAGTGCAGTGTGAGTATGTGTTGTTTTTAACAGGGAGGTAGGAGGAGAGGAGAAAGAGGAGGATGGGGTGCTTCCTCTTCAGTCTGGGCTAAGCTGCTGATGTATCCCAGCAGCCCCTGTACATAGCAACAGGAAACCTTGGTATAAAAAGCCGCGTCGCAGGGGGAACCCTCCTAAGTGTCTCTCAGCCGCAGCATGACCAGGACCCAAAGCCTGAGAGTGTGGACTTAACAACACAATGCCCAGCCTAATCGACGAACCACAACACTTCATCATGGACCAAGATGACAGGAAGACAAACAAGAACATGTGAGTTAATTTTTTGCTGAGCCGGTGGTTTCCAATATATACGCTGACTTGGGTCTTGATGAAAAACAATGAATATGTTTTTAATAATTGATGGTTTGATTTTTCCGGTTCTCTCGTCAAACCCTTTTATAGCAGGAATTATATAGATCCCTATTGGTATCTCCTGAAAATAGCATAAATCAATAATGTTACCTAACTGTACCACATGCTCTCCTTTAATTACTAACATGCCCAACATGCTTTACTGGAAACTAATTTAATAGCAAATCCAATAGGGATGTATTCATGTCTTTCTTATCTCTACACAGCGGAAAGAACTTTATGTGCCGACTGCAGTGCATGTTCTCACACTCATCAAGCTCCGAGAGGTAAGGAGACTTATGGAGTGTTTTGCATACATTTCGGTTTTAAAATAGCCAGCCTGCTCCTATCATTTCCATCTATGGCATCATGAAAGGATTCAAATGAACTAGAGACACCATGTTTGCTTTGGCAAAGGATGCGTGCATACAACTGTATCCCATGGTTGGACATTTTTCATGAATTTGATAAGCACATCTGCTATGATTTCCTTTATTAGACTGCTTCTGCGTCCTTGCAGCCCTCACAGTTCACCCCAAGTTTTATTTTACCCAAATTTGATTCTGGCTGTGTAATCTAACTTGCATTCTCTCCCAGCAGGCTAAGTTTAGAAGATACCCAACAATGGTCACAGTCACTGGAAAGGCTTCTCGATTCTAAATGTAGGTTGCTTTTCCATCCATGATGAGAATATTGTTAAAATTGAATATTACATTTGGGTGAATAAGAGTTGAAGGAGAATACTTGTGTGTTTTTTTCACAGATGGATTGGCCACTTTTCGCAACTTTCTCAAATCTGAGTACAGCGATGAGAATATTGAGTTCTGGCTCACCTGTGAGGACTACAAGAAAATCAAGTCTTCATTCAGAATGTCCTCAAGAGCCAAGAAGATTCATGAGCAGTTCATCAAAGCAGAATCTCCTAAAGAGGTACAACCAATCTTCATACATTGATATACAAACACTATAACATATATTTAACTTATGCTATATCAGATAAATGAGCACTGAAAGTATTAAAAGGAAAAAGTGCCGGCTCACATGATAAGCCTGAAATCTCTCGCTCTTGGCTCAAATCCCCTCATTCCTATCTCTCTGCCTCATTCCAGATCAACATTGACTATCACACCCGAGAGCAGATCAAAAGGAGCGTCAAGACTCCCACCATGCACTGCTTTGACGATGCTCAGAAGATAGTTTACGGGCTGATGGAAAGAGACTCGTACCCGCGGTTCCTCCGCTCGGACATTTATAGAACTCTGCTGGAAAACCTCTCCGCCGACGCCACAAAGGGATGAATACTCGGTCAAGGGGAGAAAAAGAGAACGGACTTTAAAAACCCCATAACTGGAAATGTTTGAGCTCCTTCGGGAGGAAGGGCCAACAACAAAGAAGGAAGGAGGGTTGAACCCTGTGTGCCACACGAACACATGCAGAGGCTTTTCCGTTGCCACAGAAGTAAATGGCTCCTTAGTCCCATCACGGGAGGAACACTGAGCATCTGAGGACTGTGTTACAAAAAGAAGAATAACCACAAGCAGCCTTAACGATTATGGCCCTGCAGTGTGTGTTTGCACTGGATGATAAGTCTGTGTACGCAGAGGAATTGAACTCTTTTGACAATGAATTAATCAGTGAGGCCATGACGCCCGCTTTGACTGTGGAGCTGCGTCAGCAAACTGTGCAGCGGACCTCCTTTGGCCTTCTTTGCAGAGGTGTTTCCTGTGCAGATTCAGATAGAGGATGTGAGATGCAACGGTCACACTCCATTAGTTGAGTGTTTGTATCTGAGGGAGTGGAAGTGAGTATTTAGCTGAGTGTTTAACTGCCACTGACACAGGATGAGCTGTCCCAAAAAGAAATTAGACCGATTATCTAATGACAGCACTAAGGGAGACAACAAATCCAAAGCGGACAGTCAGTGGTGATCTGTCATCCTTTAGTAACGGGTTGCAGAAGGCCAATTAGTTCTACAAGAGGCATTCTGGGATACTTTAAAGGGAAGACTTTGTTTTTTTAGATTGGACAGATATGGGGTTTAAAATTGATACAGACTTTATTTTCTTTACATTTAAGCTGCCTATCATTTATTAATATAATAGAAAAAATAGAAATCCAAAACCAATATATATTTTGTATGCTAACAAATGTAATCATGCACATTATTTGTGTGGAATCTAAACAAAATTCTGCACTACAGAAACTAAGAAGTTCCCTTTTACAGCCAGTGGTTTCTAATTTACTTCCTCAGCACACGACTACTGGTCGTTCTCTTAGTCTAAACCAAATTCTTACAGCACTGACGTGTCAAGAGTTATGATTTAATCTAATAAACTACTTGAGTGGAATTATTATAGAGATTGGATGTTTCACCTTGCATGATGGGATGTTAAATCCTCTTGTATAGCCCGCGAATATGCGTTATTGTTGCCTTTCAAAGCACGTTGTTTGAATGTATTCTTAGGAGATACTAGTTAATTTAACTTAAAAGTCAAGCAATGGTTTATTTATTGTTAAATGTCACTATTTGAGTACAATGTTTGTTGCCGTGTTGAAGTGCTTGTTAAAATGTTAGTGATTTGAACGACATTAAATTATTTAGGTTTCTTTCTAGGAACTGTGAGAGCGAAAATGTTTTGTAACATATACACTCAAACCCTCTCATACACACACACACACCTGTTCCTGGTCCCTCGTTTTTCCCATTACAGCATTTCGTACTTTGTGAAATGTGGTCATGCTGTTTATACAAAAAAGACAGCAACACACTTGAAATAGAAATAGATCCTAAAACATAGCATTAGAAAAATTAATGGGATGTTTTCGTAATGATTGTCTGTTGTATGTTCGAAGCAATACCCCATCGCATAAGCATGGAAACATAAAAGCTTTGCCAAGTACTGCTTGGCCAAAGACTTATTTTCACTGTTGTGAAGAAGCAACTGCAGTGCAGTTTTTGGCAAGACTCAACACTACATCCTACAAAGTGACTAAATTAATATCCAGTATGTTATTTATAAGTAGTGCTCCTGGTCTCTTGTATTCAATCATGTTCAGCATTTAAGATAAGAAAGGGCAGGGTATTCAACATGAGAAAGTGAGTACATATAAACAGTTAAAAGTCACTATATATTAAAAGCTTTTGAGGTTTTCAACTTTCTTTGTCCCAACTTTATGGGAAATTACATTAAAGTAAAAATGCTCCTTGTGATGTCCAACAAAGGATTTTCAGTGCCTACAATTTCCTGTTGCAGTTTTTGTATTATTACTTAAGGGCTGTGGAAATAAAGTGCACAAGTGCTGTGTGCTGCTTCAGGAACAGGAAGGCCTGGACTTCCAGTTTCTTATGAAATTAGTCGTAGTGAGAAATTACATTTTTCCTTGAAATGTAGTAACACAGTAGAATGAAACATTGCACTTTTTAACAGAAGTAGACTTTGTGGTTTTCTTGACATTTAAAGGTCAAGACAAAAAAGTAATCAATGTGTGTGTGGGTGAGTCTGTCTTTGGGCTGAAAACTTGAAGAAATTGACATGTGTCAACTTTAATGGGCTCAATAAGGCAACTGAGTCAAATGTGTTCTGCAACCTCCAATATAATTATTAAAGGAATAAGCTGTGAGGTTTTTCTTACACATTTTGAGCTTAAGTTCTTGTTACTAACGGAACAATTATATATTTTAATTGCCTCAGGTAATGAGGACACATCAACAATCGAACAGAAGAAGGAGTCAGAATCAATTTTGTGACAAACTGGCTCAGGGAATGGGACCATTAGGGAGTCAATGTATTTTTATTCTAAAAACAATGCTATAAAGCTGCATGACTTAATCAGCTAATGACCCTCCCATGTTAGCTGATTACTGACGAGCTACATTTACATCACATTACGTTCAAACTACAAAAGTTTTGGTTGCAAAAATAAGTCACTTTCTATAGAAGTTTATGAAAAGATTATCCCGCATCCCAGTTGATTTAAAATAGTGTAATTATTAAACATTTTCCAAATGAGTTTATGTTCTCAATCCCTATTCATTTTGTGAATTACAAACCCATCGAAAGTAATATACAGATGATAAACAGTGTATGATTTAGGGCTATACCTTATGATTGACAGATCTCTACCCTGTGGTGTCCGGTTTGCATGGACTTTGTGTTTTCATCTTACAACTTTACTAACTCATTAAAGCTTCTAAACGTGTGAATCTGTTCATTATATATATTAAAAAAGCCAATACAAAAAATTGATAGGTAATGTTTTAGTTGGCACGTTGTCTGTTTCCGTATCGGGTTTCGGGATTTCCTGGGAAGCACTACATCTTGGCTGGCAAATGCACATTTTGGCCAATTTATTGGCCATTTGAGAAAGGAAAGGGAAATTAAATCAATCAATCTTATTTCCTCAACCTTCAAGTGGAGAAGAACGGACAAAGTATGACTAATGAAGACTGTTTTCAAATGTCCACTATGGTGATTCCGCTGGCTCTAGCCTCCATGATGGAAGCCAACAGAAAAGCCACAACATAACTTATTGTCTGATAGTGTTTTCAGCTGCTGTCAGGACATGGTATAAGCCTTGTTGCAAGACAATACTGCCTTCATGACCTTACTTAAATCAGATCATCCAGACAGCCTGCCGCATCAATTATTCCTAATATTGACAATTAGAAAACCAGATTGCCCAAAACGCCAAGTTATCTCTTAAATCACAAAAATAAAAAAAATAGGTTAATCTGAACAGTTAAAAATGATTCACATAAGTCTTGTGCTGGGCTCAGCTGAGTTCATATTTTTTTAAGCCTTGTTTTGTATTGACTAAAGGGATATTTCTGGGTTTATTGGTAGGCTATTGCATTATATTGGTGTCACACGGTGGATTTTTACCAGCTTTGGCTGACCCCTGAGATATATAAAATCCTTGTATTTCCTTCTCTGTGGGTTTTTATTGCTGTGATTTGTCCTTTATGTGTTGTTGATCGACTGCATTTCTCCCTGTGGACCAGATAGTTAGTTTTAACAATGACAGCTACTGTATATCTGTTCAACATGTAAGTAGGTGTTATAGGATTGAATGATTAAAAATAGAAAGAAAGTTTGCATACCTTCTCATCCATTTAAGCAAGTATTTTCCTGCAGTTGAAGCTTCATAAAACAGGCCATGACCTGATTCTGCTTCCAACAAGCCAGCCATTATGTTGCTTACTGTAACACAAAAATAACCCAACATATCAGAACATGTATCAGTCGCCATAGAGATGCCTTCCCATCCAATATGAAGCCTTGCCCAGGATCCCTGTCATAGCTTGCCCGACATTGAAATATACAGGAAGGGGAGGGCACAGTCAAGTCACAACACACAACCTTCACCACTAAAGGTCTCAGGATACATGCACACAGATAGATTCTAAAATGATGTCGTGATTTTAGTTTTATATTCCGGTTTTATTTAGAAATTCTGTTCTCCCTTTGTCTGGTCTTCCTTCCTGTGTTTGCTCTCCTGTGTCTGATTGTCTCATTGGGTTCAGCTGTTGCCCTTGTGTTTCTGCCTCCCCTGCCCAGCTGTGTCTTGTCCTGTGATTACCCTTCTGTCTATTTAATCTAGGCTGCTGTCGAATAGTCCAAAAATCAGCTCCTAAATTCTAACCCTATCTCCTATTCCTTGACCTCTGAGTGAAACGTCACGGGGTAGTGGATAGTAGAATTCAAAAGGATTTAGGAGAAGAGACTGCGGTGCTTTAGAGAATCTGACTGCACTTTCACTATCTGACGTGTTTATGATGCGCCAGCGGACGTCATACATGTGCGTCTGCTTCTGTGGGGAAACTATGGAAACTACAGTTTTCTATACAGCGGACTACAACATGGATGTATAATAAGAACGAGGGACTACTGTAAACTCATCTAGAGACTCTGCACCGTGCTCTGATGCTGTTGTTTTATGCTTTATGAACGTGGACAACAGAGAAACATATTCTTCATGACCAAAGTTGGAATTAAAATAAAAAAGGAAAGTGAAACTTATGCTCGTCGTCACCCTCTCCCTCCGGTCCACATTAATCAACTCAGTCTCATGGCATTTCGTGTTCACCAACACGATTTTTAAACTATTGAATCGTGTTCACCAACACGATTTTCCCCTTTTTTCGTGTTGCACAGCACGATTTTAAAAGCAATGTATTTCTATTGGTAGTCTCACGGCATTACGTGTTATAGGAAGACCGGAAGCTGTGCGGTTCATAAAAACATGTTCTTACTCAATAGCAAGCCACAATTATTGCTTGCGTATAATTTCGGACTTTTGCTGCCGTCTGTGAGGAAAATAAATGGGGCTCAGAGCCTCAGAATACTGAAATCTGTATTTTTTTAAACTTTTTTTCCTTCTAATTTGTTATTCTTTTCAAAATAACACACTGTTATTTACTCACCAATAACACACAATTATCCTTGTTTTTATTTATTTGTTTAGTTCCATAATCTCTGGCTTTTTTGGCGTCTGTCAGGAACTGAATTTCAAAATGAAAATAACCGGAAACAGACGTAGTGATTTCGAGCGATTACCCAAGATCCTCAGCTATGGTTTAAGCTCGCCGATTGGATGTTTTAGCCGCAATGCATGTTGGGATTTGGTGTTTATATGATATGCAGGGCTCGACATTATAAATGGCCCGCTGGCCCGAAAGCGTCTATCGTTATTCCAACCCAGTTTAGATTTAACCACTCCCACTTCCGCATTACGCAAGAACGTAGCTTTAGCGTCATAGAC